ACAGCAACTAACGCCGCGACAATACACCGAGCGCATCAAAAAACATGTTCGAAACATCAGCGCCACCTTAGTCACCGGACAACGAGTGAACGACGCCTCCAAATTATAGAGCGGCGACTACATATACTAATCAGCTGAGCCGAGGTGTTTGCCGGTGGATGCGCGTCCGAACAACTGGCGCGGTCGGTAGGACTGTTCGGACACAAGTGGACGCGCATTCGTTGGCTTACACCATTTCTTAAGTAAATTTAAATCTAGTTTTTTTAATTGACCTCAGTGTAGCATCGAAAGATGGAGAGAGAATTTCTACTCTTGACCAACTTTGAAAATTTCACGGGGGAGAACAAACAGGCATGGGGTCGATGGTACCGACGATTCCGGGCAAAGACGGTCGCCTTCTGGGAAGAAAAAAGGCTGCAGAGCCTACTCAGCCTTCTGCAAGGCAGCGCTCTGGATTACTTCGCCTCGCTGTCGGACGACATCCAAGGCAACCTGCAACAAACGGTAGCCGCACTGGAAGCCCGTTTCGGCACGGCAAAGAACGCAATGCAGGCACAAGCTGAACTGGCGAGCATCCGACAGCAGCCCGGCGAGGCGACTCGCGACTTCGCGGACAGGGTGCGCCAGGCCAGCCGGGAGGCGTACCCGGGGGCGGCAGCCGGTGACCCGTCCGTGGAGGCGACTATCGTCAGCCGCTTCGTGTGCGGCCTCCGCGACGAACAGCTGCGGATGCGGGTGCTGACAAAGGACCCGGCCAGCCTCATGGAGGCCATGGATGTCGCCGCTAAATTCCAACAACAGCAGGACGCACTCCGAGCGATGCGCCCTCCCAACGAGAGCGGTGAGGCGTTGGCAGTCCGAGACCGGGACGCGCCGGGCACAGCTCGCCTAGACGCGCTGGAGAGGGGCATAGGGGACCTGCAGCGCGCCCTGCAGCGCCTTGACACAACGGGGCACGGGGCGGGGGCGAGGAACCCCCAACGAGGGCGACCGAACCCGAACAGGCAGGGCCCGGGGCGACGCTGTTTCCATTGCAATAGCCCGGACCACCTGATCCGCAACTGTCCGGCGCGGCAGGCGCAGGCCAACGAGCGGGCGGGGCGGCCCTTTCCACCCGGTTACCAGCAGGCGGGCCTGGAGTGGGCGGAACGCCCCCGTGGTCCGCCTGAGGAGGCCGGCGGATGGGCGCCGTTCTGTCCCGGGTGCAGCCGTGGGGGACGGCGATGGGCGGGGTGCCCGCCTGCCCCCGCGACTGCAGCCATAGGCACGCCTGATATCCCGTCGATGGAGGGCCCCGCCACACACACGGGACACTGGCAGCGGGGAGATGCACAGGCAGCGGGGTGCGACCGTGAAGGGCAGCGGAGGGTGGGTTACCCACCTGCCCCCTACGGCACACCCGCTGCGGGGCAGCCCACACATCAGGGACAAGCGTGCCCTCCCGATCCCGCGGTCATGCATAGGGGCACTCACGTAGCTGCGGTGGGTCAGCCACAGGGAAACGAGTGAGTACCGGTGCGACGGGACCAGTGCCGGTACGTAATCCATCAGAGTCCCACAGTGCGGGGTTGACGGCGTCAGCCGTAGAGGTGCGGGTCGCAGGTCACCAGGCTTGGGCTCTGGTGGACACCGGGGCCGACTTCTCCATGATGAGGGGGGATTTCTGGGACATGATAGGGGAAAATCTGCACCTCCAACCCTCACCGAGCACGCGGCCCGCGAGGGGGGCCGGAGGTAACGAGCTACAGATGCTAGGAGTGGTGCACAATCTGGGGCCCGAGATACAGCAGAAGACATTCGTCTGTCCGGAGGTGGAGATAGTTGGGGGCCTGCTGTACGACATTGTGCTCGGAAGAGACTTCTGCTGCCGCGAAAAGACGGTCATCGACGACGGGAACGGGGTAATCAGGCTCGGGAGCCTGACGCTCCCCCTACCGAGCCACGCGGAGGTGAGGCTGCAGGGGCCCGGGCGCTGCGAGCGTTCGGGGGCCGCGAACACCGGTCTGGCAAGGCGCTGCGCACAGGCCTGCGAGCGGGCAGTGGCCCTAGTGATGGGCACTGCTCGCGCCGTCTTCCAGTCGGCAGGGTTCAACCGACAACGACACAGTCCAACCCATGCGACCCCATGTGGGGTCCCCGTCGAGCCCCACGGGTCCGGGACGAGCCGTTGCGGGGGCGGGCAGCCCAGCAGCGGCTACTTCGAGGGCGCAGTGACCACGAATGGACCAGAGACGGAGAGCGTGAGCCGCTGCGAGGGCGGGTCGCCCAGCAGCGGCAACGCACGTCAAACAGACAGGGAGACCGTCCTGGCCAGCAGTGAGGTCGACTCGGCCAGCGAAGCACTACTGGTGGCGGGCAGAGGCGCACAGGCCAGCAGCCGTCCAGGTGCCGACGGCGACGCAGGCGACACCAGCTCGGTGGAGCGGGGCGACATGCGTAGGGCGCAAGACGAGAGCCCACCACTCAACCACGCCCGACGGTGTTTCAGCGATCAGACGCCCCCCGACAGCTCGATGCTGGGAGAGTGGGGCAAGGTCTTAGGACCAGGAGCCCACCATGTTCGGGTGGTGAACGACCTCGTCGGCATGACCACGGCGAGTGGGTTCAGGGCGGCGGTGCCGCCTTCCTTGCGCACCCATGTGATGCAGCTGGCACACGAGCCACTGACGGGCGGGCACATGGGACACCGCCGCACCACGCTAAGGGTGAAGCAAAACTTCGTGTGGCCCGGAATGTATAAGGACATCAAGGAGCACTGCAGGACGTGTACCCTCTGCCAGAGGCGGAACAAGATGGTACCGTCGCCAAGAACCCCGACACAGACGGAACTGGTCACACGTCCCCTCGAGCGCGTACCTGGTGGCAGAGTGAGACCACCGATCGCTAAATGGTGTGCGCAGCATCACCCAGATCGCGGCGCGGGACCCGAACCGCCCCCTGCCGCCCTCGGTCCGCCTGCGCCGTACCGAACGACGTGCGGGCGTCTCAACCGCCCCCGGTACAGTAGCAGGCGGGGTCCGTGAACCGCGTGCATTGTGGGCGCTGTAGTGTGTGTGTGAGCGGCCGTGCTCCTCTCCTGTGTGTAGGGGGGGTGTGTGTTGGGGAGCGACGCACGGCCGCCCGGCCGGCCGGCGGCTGGCGGCGGGCGCCGGCCGCCAAACCTGCAGCTCTGCCGGCGGTGATGACGTCGGTGGCGTGGGGGCCGCTGATTGGTCGGCGGGCGCCCAGCCCCCCTATATAATGCGGCGCATCGCCGGCGGCGGGCAGTCGCTGAGCGGGTTGCTCGGCGAGAGGGGCTCGGGGCTGAGCGGGTGGCTCAGCACGGGGGCTTGAGCGCGGCGGAGGACAAGAGGCTGGAAGGCACGGGGAATCAGCACAGAGTTGTTAACTGAATTAACGTGTACTGTACGATCACTGTAAATATACTAATCAGCTGAACCGAGGTGTTTGCCGGTGGATGCGCGTCCGAACACAAGCGCCCCCGCTGCCACCTCCCCCCCCCCTGTTCCTGGGTCTATGCGGCCTCAGACGCCGGCGGGCTGTGTGGCGAATCACCTTTTACAAATGTGGGGTATTGATAGCGTCATTCAGCATATGTCGGTAGGCGCTAATACAGAGATTTTTGGTGATAACCTGTTTGTTGTCAGGGCGCTGGAATCAGATGATATAGCTCCCATATAGGAGATAGTGAGGTTGTTGATGGTAGGTATCTGAAGAATGTTGTTACCCCCAACTCAGAATAATTGTAATGTGCCATCGATTGTACCTTTTACCGCAACCCTGTTGATACCTATAGGTATTAGAAGGCTTGCCTGAGTTACTAATAGTCTTACATTTAGAGAAAAATATCTATCACTAATCAAAATCGTTAGGTATGCTGGTTCTGTTGCTCACCCCTTATCTACAGGCTACAGCATCGACGCGGCACACGTCTTGGTGATTCCTGCTCTGTTCCTCCTGTTTCGTTTTTTAGCCGTCAACCTTGAAATTTACCACTTTCCTAACAACTCAACAGGAAAAAATGGAACGCGATATTTGGGAAAAATGTATGTTTCCGAATTGTTTTATTTCTTCTTAAGCAGTATGAACAAAAATAGAAGTCATTTCTCATTTGAAACTACCCCAATTATCACGATATGATAGTGCCCGTTATTGGCAATGTAGGTGGCAGCACCGTCGACTGCGACTTTTTCGCTGTAACTTTGACCTGCCCGAGCCCCGTCAAATCGCATTTTTACGCAAAACCAACTGCAGGGCTAGTGTTTTGGCATGCTCGCGCCAATTTATATCTTTGTCTAACGCAAATCTGCGACTATCGACACACCCTAATGCCGCCCACTGGACGGGCTCAGTCCCGACGACTCATTAGGGTGTCCACCCAGACCAATTTCTCCCCCTAATTCCTATCACCCATCCGGCTCTTAAATGGTCTCGTCAGACCGAAAGATCCTGTAGGTACCCCTTCCCCTTCCTAAAGAATAGACAAAGTTATTGAAGCGGCATATCAGATGAGGAAGTAATCGCAGCGCAAATTTATCAGGTTAGACCAGAAGCAAACCACTAAAACTACACCAGCTATGCAAAACAAGACTGATTTGTCATTTGAGGGATTCGATATTTTTCGATATTTAAGTTTCTCATAAGTAAATTGCATAGTTGCGAAAACCGTAGCACTATACCTACGTGACACTGCAAACTACAAACCGTAAAATAGCAACGCAGCATTTTACTCGCTTCAGCCGTAACATCTTTTGCTTCAAGAAGAACGCATCGTTTCATCCGTGCCAATCAATAAACATTGTCAGAGCGTTGTTCGCCAGATATGCATGAATCACGCTCAAATGGTGAACTGAACTTCAACCTGTGGGGCCCGGTGGCCCGGTGGTTTAATGATATGGTTATGGCGGAGCGGATGTCGATAGTGAATTTGATAGGTAAAGTCTCAGACTATATCAACGGCACTTATAAATGCGCCACTGCCAGTTACTGACTTCAGTCGCGGTCTAGCTGTGCCTCACTGAGCAGTGAGTATGCACTGCTCAGTGGTCACTTTCCTTACTCTTTTCGTCACCTTAGTCAACTTAGGCATCCACCGAATCCCATCCCACTACCCACCCGGTCCGTCCCAATGGGCTGGGCCCCACTGGCCATCGCTGTTCTGACAGCAGCTCTGATTCCTCAGCTAGTGGCATCCTCTCCCATCGAGAGCGTGCAGCCCAACTCCACGTTAGACGTCCTTCGCGAGTGCCGTCACGACTCTACAGCTGTTCACTGCGACCTCAAGGATTGGCCAAACAGACAGGTGAGTGCTACGGCACATCTACATATTTATCCTGCGGGAGGGTGCGTGTTTTTCGAGCCCCTCCACTTTGAACTTGTCCTGCTTATGACGTACATGACGTAGAGGAATGCTCTCGAGCGAACTCAGCATACTACATCCTATGTGAACTAGGAGCAATCATGCTTTGCATGGTTTTGATGTAGTAATACACTGTACCAAATATAGCGCACGTATTATATAACATTGTCGCATGTTTTTTCAATGTCAGGATGATTGGAGCAAGTCAGTGGAGTTCATTTTGATAAAAATGATGACTTATTTTGTGTTGACCGCGTTCCAATCGAATTTTCTCACATTTATTTTGCGACACGGTCACTCTGGTAGACAATCTGTGAGAAACTGGTCATCAGTTTAAGACAACATCTTCGGCGGCCTGGGGTCGTAGGTACTATGTAGTGGGGCAGCCAGCCAGGACCGCCATTGATAGGGGTAGAAACGATTGGACACAGGATCAGTGTTGTAGGCAGAACACAACACTTTGCTGACCCTGTACTTCAAGGCGAGGTGTCAAAGACCAGAATTTCAGAGGGCATATGTTTTAACCCTCGCCGGCACAGGGGGGTTGATGCAATCTCCTAAGGTTTTTCGCGAATAACTCGCGTAAAAAGCGGCCGATCACGGCGAAACTTTCAGTAGCCTCGCATCAATCAATTAGACACCAACCCTAAAAATTTCATGACCCTGAACCAAATGACCTTTGACCTGTGACCTCTTTTCCGAGACCATGTTTGGCCGGAATCGCGATTCGGCGTATGTCGGCTCGCATTAGCCGCGCGTTTGCAAGCTTTTCGGGTTTCAAACCTTCAAACATATGAATTGATGTTGCTCCCATACATAAGGGTGGGTGTCAAGGTCACCTGAAGGTCAGGTCAGGTCATTGACCTTTGGTGACCTCGGGTGACCTCGGATTCACTTTTTCGAGCTTTACATGTTTCTAGGCTAGTTTTTGGAGCTGAATTCGAATTCAGCAACCATTTGAACATTTACGAAGTAGTTTTGGTGCCTTCGTAACATGTTACGAAGCTGTCAGAGGCGGTTGACACGTATTACGAATACCCATCACAACCCCTACCGGTTGACCTGGCCTGAGTCCTGACCTGACCCGACCTGGTCTAAATGCTTGAAGACATCATCCCTGATCAAAACTAACACGATATTCGTGATCAGCACCCCGGAAAACCACATAGCAGCCACACTTTACGACTTTCTAACAGAGGCCTCTTGCACCAAAATCCTCTTGCACCAATGCTTGGGTTATTTTGCATCGTATACACAGTCTAAGTCTCAAATGTAACAATTTGCGTGCAAAATGTAGCAAGCACATGTAGGATTATGTATTGGGTTATTGCAAACAAATTTACCACCGTTAGATTAGCTTATTCTGAAACCGGTTTTTCGATTTTACCTAGCTAGGTAGTTTGGTGCAAGAGGCCTCAGGTCCCGATTTTCCCGGTTTTCGGGTCATTGACCTAGCCTGGAAGGTCACCCGATGACCTAGGACCTTAACCCGCGCACCGACGGGGGTCTGCGCCAACTTAGTACCGACGGGGGGGGGGGGGCGGATGACCGCCCCCCCCTGAGATCTCGAGAACGAAGCAAGATAGCGACAAGCGGTAAACGGCATCGGATACGCACGGTCAAGATCTACAATTTTTACAAAGGTCATTTTCAGGTCAGGTCAAAGATGACGTCACAGGGGTCGAAAAAGTCAAAATGGCGGCGCTAAATATGGAGAGAGTTTTTCTCGAATAACTTTCGAATTAGTCAAGATAGGAACAAACTAAGGGCATCATCGTGATCCTCTCGTGAATTCGCATCGAATGATATATATGTTGACCTCGAAAGGTCAAGGTCAAAGGTTGACCTCAGGTCACGTGACCTCGAGGTCATCATGTATATCATTCGATGCGTCTTGACGAGCTGAACACAATGAGACCATCCACTCGTCTGTATCTTGTTCCTGTACGGAGTTATTGGCCAAAAACCTTTGGTGACCTTTGATGACGTCACATGACCTCACATCTGCCCAACAGCAAAGCAGACCTCAAGGTAGTGAAGGTTGATCGTATATGAAGTCATGTATGGTATATGGGGCCATTCCGACCCGTTTTAGTGGTAAAAACAGGGAGTTGATTTTTCCCCCATTGACTTATAATGGGGAGGTCGCGAAATTGACCTGACCTTAGGTCACCGATATCAAAATTCCGAGATATACAAATTGTAGCTACTAATGACCTAATAACATCCTGCGACTTTCAAAGGCCTCCGACATCTACTGTAGCTCTGGCACGGTGACAAAGTTGCAAAAAAGTGACTTGAGGTTGGGTCATTCAAAGTGACCTGGTGACCTGACCTTGAAAGGTAGGAGGTTCAAACTTGCACACCATGTGTAAAATTGATAAGGGAATAGTCATACCAAATTTCGCGGCGCGTAGCGCCGCGGTTTTCCCGCTATTCGCGGAAAACCTCAGGGGGGGCGGATATCCGCACCCCCCGTCGGTGCGCGGGTTAAAATTGGGTATCATCGGCTTCCTCTCGTGACGGGCAACACGCTCGTTTTTTCCGCGAAGCTCTAGCTCCATCAGGGGCCAAACGCGAGGGGGGTCGTACCCCCCCTTGTGCCGTCGAAGGACGCGAAATAGCGAGGGTTAAGCATAATGCATTTCGATTTCTTATTATTATCCCGTGCCCCGCTGAAGTACCTACCTATGGCAGGTAGTTCCACGTCATGCTGGAACGGAGGGGGAGGCAAAGGGCCCTCGTCGTATCTCCAAAACTAATGGTCGGATCGGAAAACTCAAAGTATAATAAAAAAACTCATCGAGATACACTAGATGCACGCCGATTACCTCCATGTTTGACCTGTGACGTCACAGGGAGGAAAACAAGGTCAAATTTGTCCAATTTACAATGTCGAGCAGTCGGCACTAAAAAAAGAAATATCTACTATACTCAAGGCTATAGAACTCCAGGTAAGGACACCAGCCGTTTGACCTTGAACGCCGCCGGCCGGCCGATGACGTCATTGGAGGCAAGCCGGCTCGGCGGACACACAGGGCGAATGCATAACGGAGGGGCGTTGGAACGTTGCGGGAGCCAGGGAGATATTTTAAAGTGGTTGCATACTACCACCATTGTTTGTTGATTGATCTACAGACTGCATCCTTTTAAACCTCGATGCATCCTAGGCCTGGATGGTGCGTACATTCGTGGAACGATCACCCCGTCCGACGTCCGTGGTCGAAGCTGTCATAGTATTGAAGACACTAAGACGGGTGCAATAACGGCGATCCGATCCCGTCTCTGGCGAATTTAGAGGGGTCGTAAGGACCCAGGCCGAATCTGACCGTTTATTTTTAGGGGAAACGGGGTGGGTGAATTGACAACCGATGGCTTAAGAGATGATGAGAAGGGATCCCGTCGTCGATTGTTGTTTGACAGACAACACATGTTGTACTGGGCGTATGACCATCAGAGGTAATGCCTGAACGTAGGCAAGCATAATTGGTCTGTCATATTGTTTAGAAATATAAAATGGTAATGGAGATCATTGAGGATATGATCTCTACATTACGGGAATTCACTAATTACTACGGCCCATAGGGGCACCGCCGGAGCTGTTGTTTTGCCATCGGTCCCAGGCAACTCCAGGGAGCTGCAGTACCCGGCGGCCAAAGCGGCCACCTCGTCGACTCGCAGGTCCTCTGGGATTCCGTGATGCTTTAGTGCTTCACCCACAGAAGCACGGGCATAGCAGTAGGATGTGGGGCTAGGTGTCTGTCCACCTCTTCATTCAAAGAACAACGTGTACAGCGCCTGGTCCCGCCGAAGCTCGGTATCGACCGTGACTTATTCACAACTGGCGGATCCAGGAAGCGGTATTGGACACTGCGGGGGCTTACCCCAAAAAGGTTTCTCGGAATTAATTTTAAAAAAAACTCGGATTTCGATTCCTTGCGCACTGATGTGCGGTGTGATTAACCAACATTTCCTCAGAAAAGTTGTGAAGTTTTCATTTATTCTCGAAAATCGATTTCGGGCGCTGCCCTGGTTGTTGGGGAAGACATTTGCCCCAAATGCCTTCCCCTGGATCCGCTAGTGGCCGGTGCCCCACTCCGAGCTTGACTAAAGACGTCTTCAAACCTCACCAGAAACCGATGGTAAGGTGAATTGAAATCCAATAACTCATCTCTGTCTGCCCGCCTAAATATACTACACATGGTACAGCACCCGGCCCTGTCGGAGCTATGAGCCGATCGTGATATTTTCGGCTTTCCCCATCCCAAGCTCGATTAGAAACGTTCTCCTTCCCCACCTGATTGCTGATGTCAATTCAAATTCAATGCCTCATCTCTGTCTGCCCGACCATAACCCATTCATTGCACACCGTTCAGCGCCCGGCTCCGCCAGAAGTATCCTAGCGCGCTGAGCAGTTGCCTCCAGCCGCGTCATCGCGAGGCCCCGCGCGGCCCATAAATGAATACATTGCGCGAATAGCCGTGTCGCCCCCCTGACTATACTATTTGTAGAATGAAACTCTGTCTTTCTGTGTGTGTGTTTGCACCGTGCAGAGGGGTGCTTTGACGCCGTGCACAGGTCAAACGGTGCGGTCGAGGGGGCTGAAATTTTCGCAGGGTGTTGATGACGTCACGCCCACGTGCAGTGTCGTGTTTCGAGTCCCGGGGGGTGGATGGTTCGCACGTGGCACGCCCTGGAAAAGTGCGTACCTATTTCTTCACAAATTTGCTCGGTCTTCAAGGCATCGGCAGCCGGGTTTGATGGACTTAGCAACTAAAATGCATGACGATCGGCGGCGGGTGCCTCTCATTTCCGGATTGGCAGCTTATTTATTTTGATAAACAGAGGCGAATGAAGGTGTTGATTTTCGGTAAATAAAGACAGTTTTCAATGCGCTTAACCGAATGCACCGCGTTTGCCGCAGTGCGCCACATTTGTCCAAA